AATCTACCAGAAAAGTTCTCCACTGCTTGGAATCTCATCTAGAAAAATAAGAAGATGGTTGTGGTTGTTGGAGATAAATGATCTCAGCCTCAATACATTTTTGCAGGAGTTCCTCAGGTTAGTGTCCTCAGCCCAACCATTTTCAAATACTTCATCAGTGACCTTCCCTCAATCATGAGAACAGAAATAGGGCTGTTCCCTGATGATTGCACAGCGTTCAGCACCATTCACAATTTCATGGATACAGAAACATTCCAAGCTATCATTTAGATAGACCTAGATAACACTCAGGCTTGGATTGATGAGCAATATTCACACCACATAACTGCCAAGCAATTACAATTTCCCAAACAGAGAATCTCATCATCTGCCCTTGCATTAGCACCACTGAATCGTCCATCATCAACATCCTGGAGTTTGCCATTTACCATGGAAGTGCAAAATGATTAATTGGTGGGAAGAACACAGAGAGACAACAGAAAATAAAGGGTATAATTCTAAAAGGGGTGCAAAATGAAAGGGACCTGTTATATTTGCGCATAAATCATTGAAGTTGGCAGGACAGTTGAGAATGCAGTTGATAAAGCTTATAGCATCCTGGGTTTTATCAACAGAGCACACTATACAAAAGTAAGGAAGTTACATTAAACCTGAATAGAACTGTGATATGGCCTCAATTGAAGTATTGCATTCAGTCCCTGGTCACCACATGTTATGAAGGAAATGAAGGCATAAATATTTTTTCCATAATTTGCTTAAAACTGTTGAGCACAGTTACTCAGTGGATGGCATTTTCAGTGAATGAACAACTAATGCAGCTAAATTATTTTTATCTTTGATAAAGATCACTGCATTATGCAAGTGGATTGCAGCTTCCTATGTGCACTAACTTATATATACAATCTCATTAAAATTCATCAGCTAGTAATAAGCCAATATCAACATTCCACTTAATTTTTCCAGATACTTCAAACAGAAAACTATAAATACTTTTTTTTTTGGCTGCCTAACCACAAATCTGTTGTCATCAGCAGATTTGATTTTATTAAAAAAATGAATATGAGACATGACATCTCATTTAAATGTTAATTTCCAGATACCCACCAAAAGTGCTTCACAGATAGTCGATTATACGTTATACTGAGAAAAGGGACAGCAGCTACTTATTTTGAAATGGATGATAGATAAATAATGGTTCATCACTGAGAGAGTTCCCTTGCTCTTCTCCAATTAGTGGCATTGGGATCTTTTATGTACAGCTAAGGGGATAGTCAGAGTCTTGGTTTAACATCTCGTCCAAAGGGTACATTACTGCAGCACTTCACTGAAGTGTCAGTTGGGAATATATGCTCAAGTTCCTTCTTCATACCCATTATGCTTAATGAAATAACTTCACAGAGACTGATATCACATCGCCAAGTCACCCTTTATTTACATGTGCATAGAATTTGACACCGGCCCAGCTTCCTCAGAGCTAGCTCTCACAGAACCTCTGACATGCCTATTTATAACTGTCAGCTAGGGCTCCCTTATTGTACTAGGTCAAAGGCTCCAATCGGCGAACTCATATTCTATGAGGTCCACCTGGCTGATCTCGTTACAATCACTATATCCCTCCCCTCTAAGTCTGGGGATGTAGGCTTGCTCTTTTTCTTGTGCAAGCCAGCCAACTTTGGCTGAGGATGTCAGATGTTAACCCACCAGTGGGAGGTATCCAGTTCAATGACGTGAGATGAAGCGCTCACTTTGTTGTTAGTGAAAGTGGGTTTTATTTTATTGCTGTGGGATATATTAAATACAATAAAGCACTAGTAAGGGTTATGGGTAAGATTTTATTGTAATTTTCGCAGTTAGAGTTTTAAATTTAACTTGTGCCAAAAAGCACATCAGGTAATGTAATGGCCTTGGACTAACTAACCAAAATGGTACTGCTCAGCTAAACATTGCCCTTTTAAGAACATCTTGCTTGGTGAAATGGCCTAGTCCCGGATTTCCCCAGTTCTGCCCTCTTTAGACCAGGTGGCTGTGGTTTCATTACCTAGAGGATTTCAAAATGTTGACGAGTTATGTTAATACTCGAAAAAGACACCCTTTGTGTCTCCTGGGCATTTTCACAACTGGTCCAGTTCCTCCAACTCTGCCTCGGAAATGGGCAGTGTGTATATGGACTGTAGCCTGCCTCTTGTGCCTGGAGGGTCTCAGAAGAAATTCATCCTCTTCTTCAGGCAGTAAAGGCATTGAGGCTGCAACATCCGCCATGTCCATCTCAGACTCCGAGGTTTCTTGGACGCTAGACGATGGGGGAGAACACATGGGTTCTGACACTCTCCGGCTGTCCTGAAAAACTGGGTATGTTTCTGATGAAGGGTCTAGGCCCGAAATGTCAGCCTTTCTGCTCCTATGATGCTGCTTGGCCTGCTGTGTTCATCCAGCTCTGCACCTTGTTGTCTCTATGTTTTGCTCCTGTCCTGTTTGTGAGTTTGCAGCTTTCATGTGGTCCATGTGCTTGTTCAGGACCACCTCATCTACCCAGGACCTGACCTCGCATTGACCATGCGTATTTGCATTCTGCATCAGCCAATGTCCGGGAAGCACATACTAGTTGGTATTCCTCTCCATTCAGCCATCTATGAGCCAACACTTCCCCGATACTGTATGGGAAGGCAACGCGTGTCAGCACTAGATCTTGGCTGGGATCATAGTGCACCACACCTTAGATAATGATAGCTGCTTCTTCACTTACCTGAAGGCTATGTCTTGGCTATGAGACCATTTCCAAGGCTACCCTTTTTCAATAGCAGATGTAAGGGTGCTAGGGTGGAGGCCAGGTTATGAATGAACTTTCCAAAATAATTCACCAATCCAAAGAAAGATCTGTGCTCATACAGATGTAGTGGCCGGGACCCTTTGATCCCCATCAGTTTATCTTCTAACAGTTGTAACCCAATCTTCTCAACTCTGTAGCCCGAGAAGGTCACTTGAGGTGGCTGGAACACACAATTTTCCCCGCTAAAGCATATGCCTGCCTTCAAGAAATGTCTAAGGACTACGTCCAAGTTCTCTAAGTGCTCTTTACTGGTTTTCCTTTTATTAGCATGTCATCCAGATAAATGGCAACCTGGGATAGACCTTGTAAAATGTCCTCCATGGTCCACTGGAAGATAGCAGAGGCTGACGACACCCCAAATGGCAGTCTTGTATATAGGTACAAACCCTTATGGGTATTACTTTTGGGAATTCTTGTCTAACCATAATTGCAAGTATGCATGGCTCATGTCCAGCTTTGTGAAGGACAGTTCCCTCCCCCATTGATTCTCAATGAGGACCACTGTGTGAAAACAAAAGCTCTCATATTGCATTTGCTTCTCTTGCAAAACATTTTAAAATGTTGCCTTCAGGTTCTTGATCATTTTATGATTAGCACCAGTTTCCCTTACCTACTTTGACCTAACCACTCATGATTTTGAAAATCTCTATCGAACTTCCTCAGCCTTCATCTTGACAAAGAAAACAATCCCAACTTCTCCAATCTATCCTCATTTCTGAAGTATCTGAACCCTGGAACCATGCTCATAAACCTATTTTACACTCTCTCTAATGTATTCATATCCTTTCCATAGTACTAGAACTGTACACAATACACTAGCTGATATTAAACCAATGTCCTATAGGTTCAGCACATCCTCCCTGTACATGCACTTTGTGCTCATACTAATGCAGCTAGAAAACCATATGCTTTATTAACAGGTCTCTATACTTGTCCTGCCACCTTTAATTACTTATGTACCTATACACCAATGTCTCTGCTCCTGCATACCCTTAAGATAGTATCCTTGATTTTCTAGTCTTTTCATGTACTTCAGACAAAAGTGCATCACCTTACACTTCCTTACCTTGAACTTCACCTGTCACCTATCAGCCCACTCCACCAACTTAACAATGCTTTTTTTATTTCCATACTGTCCTCTTCACAATTTAGACTTCCTATGTTTTGTGTCCATAAGACTGTAAGAAATAGGAACAGGAGCAGGCCATTTGGTCCGTCCAACCTGTTCCACCATTCAATAGGATCATGGCTAATCCAACATTCTTCCTGTCCACTTTCCTTCCCATTCCTGCAAACCTTGATTCCCCTACTGATCAAGAATCTATTTCAGCTTTAATTATACAAAAGGACTCTTCCCACATAACTCTCTGTGGCAAGGAGCTCCCAAGAGTCACAACTCTGTTGAGAGAAGAAATTCCTCCTCATCATAGCCTTAAATTGGCTCCTTTTATTCTGAGACCATAGCCTCTGGTCCTAGACTCTCCCGCGAGGGGAAACATCTCTCAGCATTTACCCTGTCAAGCCCCTTAAGAATCCTATATAATTCAATGACATCACCTCACATTCTTCTAAACTCCAGCATGTTGAGACACCAGCTGTTTAACCTTTGCTGGTAAGACAGTGCCTCCATACCAGGGATCATCCAAGCGAACCTTCTCTGAACTGCCTCCAATGAAACAATATCTTTCCTTAATTAAGGGGAACAAAACTGCTCACAGTACTCCAGATGAGGTCTCACCAGCATCTTGTGCAGGTGTCATCTGTAGACTTTGAAACTGTACCCCCGCACACCATGATCAAGATTATTAGCATATATCAGGAAAAGCAAGGGTCCCAGTACGGACCCATCGGGAAACTAGCAGAAACCTTCCTCCAGTCAGAAAAAAAATGCTTAAATTCTATCGTGTTTGAGGGGCGCTTTGTTCGACACCACTAACATTTTCATACTTGCACACAAGAGGATCAATGGAAAGCCGACGTTAAACATAAAGAAATGGGATAAATCAACAAGCTTCTCAAAAATAAAAGGTGCTTTTCCACACACGTACCCCTCCCCTATTTTGATGCAGTCTGGATGCAGCGGTAAGATGGTCTGATGTCCCTTTAAAGGTGGGACGTCCTGTTGTTTGCAAGGTTCTGTGCCGCGGCTGCGTCACCTCAGACGAGGCTTGAAAATGAAAACATTTTCCAAACTCGATCAATGAGTTTTACTGCATCCGATGAAGCGCTTCTTGATCTGCCTTCTTTATTTCCGCCATTTTTCTATCTGAGCCAGGGCGACGTTTCCTCGGAGACAGCGATCAAAGAATATTATTCTTTTTGTGGGGTTGGAAAAAAAAACATACGTATATAATCAGGTGAATTTTTACTGCAGTTTATTCCTCGGTATAATTCCAGGAGACAGCAGCGAGTTTGCAAATCTGCTTCTTGTGAAGCGGGTGGTATGTGAATCGACAGCAGGAGAAGATATTGTCTTTTGCAAAGTGGTGTTGTCTGGTGAGATTGTTGGTAGTTTTACTCCTTCTGAACCAATGTGATTCCAAAACCTTTCATGTTTCGATTTATGAGAGGAAACATTGTATTCATTCATTCATTCATTCATTCGAATATTTTGAAGGACACGATATGTGTTCGACATTTCCTCACATGCATGTTTCTGAAACTGTAGTCATCAGATCGTATAGAGCTTTCTTTTCGGGTTAAAAGGTATCGAATAAATGAACCTCTGATGTGCACAATTCATTGTTGGTGCGCAGCTTTACAGTGCGTCGAGGTAATTTTTTTTAATGCAGGAATTGATGAGGGCTTGTATTCACTGCTGTTCCCTGGTCGCAAAGGTTTGAAAAAATACAATTTAAATAATATGTGACCTCGCCTTTGGCGTTTTTCTCCCCTATCCCCTCCCCTTCGAACGATCCCAAATGGGCAGCTGAAGAAAATCAATTGGGGGTGGAACACGAAAAATATTAATCTGCATATTCCATTGGAGATCTCCTGAGTATTGTGCTGCTATTGAGTTCTGACAGGAGGTTGCTCGTTCTCGAAAGCCCCCTCTGCTTCATTGTTTTTTTTCCCCCTGTCTATCTCTCTCCTCCACCACCCCCCTCCCCAAAACCCAGCTTCTGAATAGAGGAAAGCCCCTCCAGCGATTGCCAGTCCTCCGCAGCCATGGTGAAGTTAGGGAACAATTTGACCGAGAAGAGCAATGGGAAGGCTGCAGCTACAGATGGCCTCGATACCATCCCTCTCATCACGCCACTCGACGTCAACCAGCTCCAGTTCCCAGCTCCAGACAAGGTAAAAACACCAGGAAAACAAAAGGCTGCCACACAACGTTGTGCTGATAAGGGGGTGGGTGGGTTAATTAATTCAGCCACCCCCGGCCTTTAATTAAACAGAAAGGCAAAGAGGGGAACCAGGGTCTGGAAGCAAAAAAAAATACACTGCTGAGTGTTGGAAATGTGAAATAAAACATAAAATGCTGGAAACACTCATCGGGTCTGACAATATCTGTGCGAGAGAGAGACTGAGATAACCTCTCGGTTCTGGCCACGGGTCAGGTCCACTTTTGAGGATACAGGATCAGGCTTTATCTTTCATGGAAACAGGAATGATCACTAACTTAAAATATCAGGAAATATTATTTTTACACTAATATTTGTAAGATGTCAAGCAGTGCCAAAGCATGGGAGGTAACACAACTACATGTTATTCTCATTAAACTAATGTTAATGAAATCCAAGTACATCAATGCTCATGAATTTTACTGTTTTGGGCAATAAACTGTTCAAGGGATACGAGATTTCATAAAAATAAAAGCAAAATGGTGCTGGAAATCTGAAATAAAACCTGAAAGTATTGGAGAAATGCAGCAGTTTAACAGCATTTAGGAAGAGAAAAAGAGTTAATGTTTTGAGTCTAGTATGACTGTTCTTTGCAGCTGAACAGATGAAGAGTCACAGAGTTCTGCAGCACAGAAAAAGGCCCTTTGACCCATTGATTCTGTGCTGATCAAAAACAAATGCCTAACTATTCTGATCCCATTTCCCAGCACATTCTCTATAGCCTTGATTGACTTGGAATTGCAAGTGTTCATCTAAATACTTCTTAAATGTTTTGAAGGTTCCTGCCGTTACCACCCTTATGGGCATATCAAAGACCCATCGCATCCTGGTAATGATTTCCTTTCACTGCTTCTATCAAGCAGAAGATACAGAAGCCTGACCATATGCACCAGCAGGTTCAGGAACAGCTTCTTCCCAGCTCTTATTAGACTGATGAATGGACTGTCTAGCCTCGAATAATACTGATCTTGCTAATGTTGATTTTGCCTAGCGCACGCCCTGTGCAACGTAACCTGTATGCCTCTGTCTAAGTCTTTCTGATCTGTACATCCTTTGCTTACTATGATCTACCTGTACTGCTTGTAAACAAAGCTTTTCACTGTACGTCGGTACATGTGACAATAAATCAATCAATCAGTTAGTGAGTTCCAGATTCCAACCACCATCTGGGTGAACTTATTTCTCACATCTCCTGTAAACCTCCTGTCCCATATCACCTAGTCATTGATTCCTCCACCGAGAGGAAAAGTTCCTTACTGTCTATCCTATTTATGCCTCTCATAATTTTCTACATCTCAATCATGTACCCCCCTTCCCCCCCCCCCCTCCCAGTCTCCTCTGCTCTAAGGGAAACAATAGCTTCCAGTTGCCAACCATTTTAACTCCCACTCCCATGGTGACATGTCCACCTGGGCCTTCTCCAGTGCCACAATGATGCCACACGCACATTGGAGGAACAACACCTCATATTCAGCCTGAGGAGCTTACAGCCTAATGGCCTCAACATAGAATTCACCAGTTTCAAAATCTCCCCACCCCAGCCTCATCCCATGTCCAACCCTCCCTCTCATGCCCGCCTCCTTGACCTGACAACAGCCTGCCCATCTTCTTTCCCATCTAACCGCCCCACCCTTCCCACTTACCAGTCTCCCCCCCTACCCTCTACCCGCACCAACATATCACCATCCCACTGACCTTCTCCCTGCACCACCCACCCCATTTACTTCTGAGCTCCCTTCCCCCTCCCCAGTCTTGATGAAGGGTGTAAACTCAAAATGTTGACTTTCCTGCTTCTCCTGCTGCCTGACCTGCTGTGTTCCTCCAGCTCCACACTGTATTGACTCCAGTCTATCCAGTCATTCTTCATAGTTGTCATACTAAGTCGAGTCATACTGGACTTGAAACATTAACTCTATTTCTATCTCCACAGATTATGCTAGATCTACTGAGTTTCTCCAGTACTTTCTGGTTTTATGAATTTTAAAAGCCTGGAAGGCTGTGTTCTAAGCATTAGTGTCACGGTGTTGTAGTCTTGTGCATTGTGGATGGTATTATAGTTTTTATGATGGATCACTACACTTTGGGAAGTTGTATCACTATCCAAAGTGAATTGCACAACAAAAGTCAAAAGTGAACCAAAAAAAAATACACAAAATTAAAAAAAGCTGGTCTTTTTGATCTTGGGAAACATTAGCCTGTTCCTGAAAAGACAAGCCTTGTGGCTGGCAATTTAACAAAACCTTTAAAAATCAATTAGCTGCTAATTGGTCTACTTAGACTAATTCATTACATGGAGTACTTCAGCAAAGGCAACCAGTTTATCAGGTATAATCACAACAGCCTTTGACTACTGAGCAGCAATGTTATGGGAGATCAGCCAGCTGTAATGCATTTTCCAATTTGTATATTGAATCAGTTGAAGTAGTTTATGTAGCAAACATACGGCATAGAGATTATCCGGTATAATAAGTCAACTGCAGAGAATATTGAGAATTCTGACTATATTAGTGAAAGTAGTAGATAAATGTAGTTTGAAGGAAGCTGTACTGTTGATGAAAACGATAAAAGTTTGTGTACTGAGGTAACAAGGTGTAGAGCTGGATGAACACAGCAGGCCAAGCAGCATCAGAGGAGCAGGAAGGCTGACGTTTCGGGCCTAGACCCTTCACCCT